TTAGAGGATCAATCTAGGAGGTCCTATGTATAAATGTTAAAGTTCCACGAAGAGGGAAAGCAGAGAAGAAAATGACTGAAGAAATAATTCAATACCTTTTCCAGAATTGAAAACAAACATTGAAGTCGGGCATGGTGGTGCACACCTGTAACCCCAGCACTTGGGAGGTTGAGGCAGGAGGATCATTGCAAGTTTGAGGCCAGCCTGGGCTACAAAGTGAGCTCAAGACCAGCCTGAACTGCATAGCAAGACCCTGTCTCAAAAAAGACAGAAAAGGGGCTGGGGATTTAGCTCAGTGGCAAAGCATCTGCCTGGCAAGTGCAAGGTCGTGAGTTGGATTCCTGGTACCAGAAGAAAAACAAAAAACAAACAAACAAAAAAAAAAATCAAAAAAGACAAAAAAAAAAAAAAGAAAACAAACATTTTCAAAATAATAAGAACCCATTGAGTACCCGACAAACAAGAAAACCTATATCATGGGACATAATTGCAAATTTTCAGAATACCAGAAACAAAGAAAAGAGTCCAGAAATAGACAAAGTGTAAATATAAAAGTTTATGGAAAATACTATCAAACTCACCTGCCCTTCCAAATGGGAAGAAAAAATTGAGCAATGCTTTCAAATGCCAGGAGAAAATATATTATATCTTAAATGTTATACCTAGCCATACTTAGGTTCAAGTTTGAGTGGATAAGTAAAAAGAGAAGGACATTTTCAGACATGAAAAGTCTAACCAAAAAAATAAAAAGTGGCACCCATGAAGCTTTTCTCCCAAAGTCACAAAAGAGGAATGATATAAATAGTGAAGATGTAATCAAGAAAGAGGAAGACGTGAAATCCAAACAATAAGGAATCCATCCACTGGGAAAAGCAACAAAACTCCCAAAATAAGGATAAAAGAAAATGTCAGGCCAAATCTGGAAAAAGTAGATCTAGAGAAGAGCTAATCAGCTTAGAAAAAAGGTTCATGTAAGACTGCATCATCACGGGATGTGTAGAATGTGTGAAGAGGAGATGAACAGTTCTGACCCAATCTGGAGATGGCCTGCAACAGAAACACAGAAAACTAAACAAATGAAAAAAAATAGACAATTACTAAATTAAGAGGAGGGGAAACTGGTTACATAAGAAAGAAAATGTAACAAGTTCACTGAATGGTTTTCTGGAAATAATAGAACACTGTACAGACTCAATACTAAATTAGCCAGTGATTACTCTAAATTTCGTGGGAAGAAAGAGGGAACCATGTGTACTTGTTTGCATACATGTGACCTTATTTTTGACTAGTGAATGGGAGGTGATAAAAGATTATCTTCTGTATTTATTACATAGAAAGATAATAGATTATATCTAAATTTGAAAAATAAAGTCAAGATATTTATTTCATTAAATTTGAGATGATACCAATTAAAAGAATCTCTATTATTTATGTATGCTTAAAAGTAAAAGCATTTTTAAATGCCAATTAAACTATAACAATATCGTCATTTGTAAGAGTTAAGGATCTCAGAAGTATTAAAGTGAGGAGATAGTATCTGTCTTGGCAATATAGCAGTGCATTGTTTCGTGAGGAAGAGCTAACCTAGCACAAACTAGCTCTGAAGAACAGGAACTAAGGTGGGGAAACAATGAACTGGTTGTGATTTTTGTCGCAATGTGTGTTGAACTTGTTGACCTTTTTAAATGGTATGTATATAACTTTGATTAAAAAGTAAATTTAAAATAAATAAGAAAATAGTGTATAACACAAACTCTAATTAACATAAAATAAAAAACAAACTTTCTTGGCTCCAACAGTGTTCATGGTGCTGGCAGCAGTAGTAGCCAGAATATCAACACTTATACTCAGGGCGCCATTTTCCACAGGGCAATGAGAAATGTTAGGTTGATAAGCACAGTGGTTGCATGTCAGAAAAAGAACTGCATACTTGAGGAACCCAAATATTTTCTTTTAATACTTTTACTATGGACAAATACACTTAACATAAAATGTACTATCCTAACTATCCTTTATTGTAATTCAATAATCAAATCCTTCATAATGGGTAGTAAATCAACCCAATCTTTGTACCATAGGTAGATACTAGCTTTGGGGTTATATTGCTGATCATTGGCTATATATTTTTTTCCACTGGCTATATTAATGGTTATATTGTCCAGGTTACTGGACAACAAACAAATCTGACCTTTGCCCCCAAATAGGGTTTCTCAGTCTCATCACTACTGACATTTGGGGTTAGGTAATTTTATGTTTGGAGGCTGATCATGTGCACTATAATTAACAGCATCCTTGGTCACCACTCATTAGTACCACCCAGTAGTAAGACAATTATCCCTGTAGGGAAAATATCTCCTCTAGGTGACAGTGATTATTCCAGAGAAGTTCTATCGCTGACCTCCAAAGCCATTCAATCTGCAAACATCCTTGCAAAGACAGTCAGGGACAAAGGCAGGCAATGAGTGTTCCACCCTTAAGAGCTTCAGGGACAGAAGCAGCCCATGGAGGTGGCCCAGCAGGAGCCTCGGTGTCTACTTACAAGGCTGCATCTGTTTTCAGTAACGGGTCCACTACTCAGCCAGTTTGTGTATACACACACACACACACACACACACACACAGGTCCTTCCTGCTGATCCTTTCACTAAAATCACAATGTAAAGAAAGAGACCATTAGGATGACAGGAAACCAGCCCAAGCAAGCTAACTAGCTAATATCCTGAGAGAATGTTCATGTAAACAGTATAACAGCTGAGCCAAGCGGTATACAAGGCCTTATATTTCCTCCCCTGGCTTTTATTTTTTTTCATTTAATTATTTCCCCCAGACCACCTCTGTTCTGAAGTTAAACAGCCCTGCATACCAGTCCCATTTCCCCTACCTAGTGGTACAAATTGGGCAAGATAATTCATCCTATGAGTTTACTTTCTTTATATACATATATGTCAAACGGGGATAGTAAGACCTATCTGACAGGGCTGTCATCACAGTCACATGAGATGATGCCTGGGCGGTGCCCAGCACTGAGGAGGTACTTCATAAATCCTATCTGTTTAATGCAGATCACCACTGGGCAAGGTCCTCAAAGCTGGTTTTACTATCATGGAGCAATGGGATTTATGCTAGTTTCTTCACACTCTCACTTACTCTTTACAATATTTATAATATAGCTGCTGGGGGTAGAAAGCAAGAGTCACTAGACCCTAGAGGGAGTGGCTCTGAAACTGGACCTGCTAAGTACTTTGTACCACTAAGTGAAACCGACCATCCCATGACTATAACCAATAGAGTCAAGGAAGGAAGTAGCTCTGATCTTTTGTTACTCAGCTTCATTTCCTTCAGCTTGACATCCATGCATTGGTACTGCTATAGCCAATTCATTTCTCAGTCTCTTTTGCATGCTTGCAACAAGCTTTCACTTGTAAGAACAAAGCTCTGCACCACACACACACACACACACACACACACACACACACACACATACACACCCACCCAAGGATTATCAGAGATCAGTTCTCCTCCCAACTCTCAGGCCCTGTAATCAGCAAGTTTATAAACAAACAAATACCTCTCACAGATTTTGCAAGTTGTTTACTAAGTGATTAACAGAGAGATTTCTCTTTCACTACTAATACTATGATTCTCTCTTGATATTCTGACTTTGGAATATAAATTAGTCTTGTGTTTTTATAGCTATTAAGTGTTGCATACACTTGATGAGTTTCCTTCTTTGTCTTAAAACATAATTTAATTATCATTTCACAGAAGACTTAAAATTCTGTTTTCTCCCAGGAAAAATACCTAATAACTAGAGTTTATGAAAAACTATTAGTTATAGCAAATCCTACAAAATAAATTGGTTTTTTTTAAATCTGTGATTTTTAGCACATTAGGCTTTTTTCCCAGGAAGGCAGTGCTTGCAAAAAATACCTGAGGAATAATCAAGCAGCCATCTCCCTGCTACCCCGCTAAGACAAATACACTTGAGATCATCTACGAAATGTGTTGGATTGTGAAATTTGCTTTTAGAAAGGAAATGTCACATAATGGGCAAAAGACAAGTGGCAATTCTTAGTGACTTCCCCCATTCCCCTGAGTCTGGGATTGTCATTTCCTCCTCCTCACCTAAACTCCAAACCCCCACCTAGAAGAATAAGAAAGCTGGTTGAACTATAGTTAAAAAAAAAAAAAAAAAAAGCAGAAATGACTTATTTCTTGCATCATTTAACCAGAATGAATGCTACTTAATTTCTTCTATAAATGCATACGTGACACACAAACACACATTCCCACTCCTAAAAGTACAAAATTTCTGCTGGCTGTGGTAGTACATGCCTGTAATCCCAGCACTTTGGGAGGGTGAGGCAGGAGGATTGCAAATACGAGTCCAGCCTGGGCTGAGTGATTTAGCGAGATTTAGAGAGATCTTATCTCTAAATAAAATATGAAGAGAGCTGGGGATGCAGTTCAGGGTGAGGGCCCTGGGTCCAACCTCCAGTACTGAAAAAAAGAAAGTGTACTGTTTCGCTGCCCTAAGAGAGAAAATCAATACACATCTAGCAAATATTTGAGTTGCATTTATATAAACAATTCTTGTGTGAAAAACAAATTCCAACAACAATTTCAACTACCCTAAAGGAGAGAATGTGATAGCATTTTTAAATGCTTTTATAGGTGGAAGACATTTTTTTCTAGATAAAAACCTGCTCCTTTTTGTATCAACTTTCTCCTCTTCCTTTCACACCTACCTCCATCCCATCTTGCTCTTCAATGCAGTTTATTAGACATAGACCATCTTTTGCATGGAAAAAATAGATGCTGTTCCAATGGCCATTCTCTGTAATACTAGGAAGAACTGCATGGTGTTGTGTTATGTGTTTAAGATCATTCGGTGACCTGGCACCTTAAAGGGCTTATCAGCATGTGGCTGGTAACACAAAACTTGAAAGGCAAACAGCAATCATTGGTTTTCACACGTATGTTCAATGGCATGGAGATTACCTGGTCGACTGGAACCTCAACCTGGGTGTCTTCATCTTCCTGGACTTCTGCTGCCCCCCGCATCTCAGACCTCTCTGCTCCAGCTTTGAAAATGCCTTCATCTATTATTGGAGACAAACACACAGTGAAAAATGGAAATGCAATTGTGACATCGTGTGGCTGCATAGTGAATTACAGCAGAAGATCTAATGGCTGTTTTTCAGTAGTAATTAAACCCGTTGTAGTGATAGAATTTAGTTAGCCCTGGCCCCCAATTTATCTGCATTTTCACTGACAAAATGTTTGAGAGGCAAAACAAGGTTGGTTCTACACAGTAGATTTTTTGGCGGAGCCCTGCTTACCCTGTTACTACAGAATTAGCATCATGCCCTGTACAGGGGCTAAGATGGGAACTTTACAGCCAGGGTCTTAGTACTCTCTCCCTGGCCATGGACTAGCAATGACACATGCTGCTTTGAAATACCACTTTCAGAACTTTTCCCTCCCAAGAGGATGCTACACTCCCAACACAATGTATTGTAATACTTCTCTATATTCAGAGTGATGTGTAAAAAAAAAAAATGTTTATTTCAAAAGAATCATGGACCTGACTGTCTCCCTTCACACCAAAAAAAAAAAAATCTTATTTATTTTGCAGATTTCTGCAAGATTTTCACAACCTGTGACTTCAAATCCTTATCTATAAAATATAATCTCAATCTCTAAGACTTTAGGTTAAGACTTTAGGTTTAGCCCTTCGGCTCTCTTTCCCCTGGAAAGCAATCATCGCTGCTTTCCATATTTGAAGTAATTTTGGTGTCTTCCCTCCCACCTCTCTTTTCCAGGCCAAGTAATCAAAGAATCACAGAGCTGTTTGTCCTTCTGTCTGTCTGCTTGCCTCAGGACAGGTTTAAGGCTTCAGCTATGCTCACAGATGTTTTCTCTGTTCAATTTTTAAAGCTCTCCAGAGATGGGGATTTTACCTCATTCTTTAGTAACCTATTAAGTATTTGATAACCCCTACAATCTAGAAGACATTTTGTTTTAAAGTCCTCTCTTTCTGTAATGGAAGCATTTTTCCCAGAGCATGATTATTTAGCACACTTTGCATAATAATACTCCGTATTGCTACAGTTATGAAATCACCCCTTATTCAATGCAAAATGTTTTAACATGGGTTGGGGAACAACTACAGGTAAGGCACAGTGTGAACCGAGTGATAAGAGTCTGAGATATGGGTGAGAAGCAGAGAGCTTCCAAACTGCTGAAGGTCCGATGAGATAAAGACAAACACACCACCACCACCGAGGTGTACCCGGTGAGCACTGTAATGGGTAAGGAGAATTGCAGCACATCACAGGAGCTAAGAAGATGCATCCAGGTGAGGAAAGAATGGAGGGAGAGGGACAGAGGGAAGGAGGGAAACTTGGCATGTTTGACACTCATTTCTGTAAATTACCATAGAAGTTAACAATTGTTGTCAGACGCTGGCCTGCATAGACTGCAGTTATGACTTGGACACAGTGGCTCTTTGGATGGATGTTTGCACGTAGACGTTGCACTTGTTTACACAGAGGAACCTACAGATAGCCCAGGAACACATCCCTAATGCTCACATTCAGCCAAATGTTTGACTAGGTCCAAACACAGCTATGAACGGTCTGTAGATGTGTTTGTGGACCAGGCATTCCACCAGAAAAGAATACAGTCGATGATAACAAAATAAAACTGAAAGGGCACAGGAATGGAAACTGGCAACCATCTAGACATAAACAGCAAGGACCAAATCAGCAAAGCTTGGGCTTGTGTCCAGCGGCACAAATACAGAACACAAAGATAAAAAGCATTTGTCCTCGGCATGGGCCTTGCTCTCAGTGAACTGAGATGCGGAAGTGGCTTGTCTGGCGGCGCAGAGCCAGACAGGGAGAGCCTGAGGGTAGTGGGGAACCCAGAGGAGACACAGGGGCCAAAATGGGAAAGAGCGGCTCTAGAGTTCCCGGGTGGGAAGAGAAAGCCTAGCCAGCTTTTCGGGTTCGCTAAAACTGCCACGTTAAATTAAAGGTGAGGTAATATATAGAGGCAAAATAAGTTTTTATTATAAATGGTTTATATAAATATATTTTAGAAATCTTCAAAGATAAAGGACATAAAAACCTTTCTGATCGCATGATCCAGAGATGACTGTCGCTAATATTTTAACAACTCTGTGTGTCTCTCTCTTCTTTCTCTCTCCCATCGAGCCCCGCATATAAAACTGAGATCTTATTGCACATATAATTTATAAGTCCTTTTTCTACTTTAAAGTCATATAATGAGTATTTCCTGTGCCATTAAATATTCCCTGAAGATAATAAAATGTGGTGACGCCATACACTAGCCTCATAAGTGGAGAACACTGAATGAAGAAAATAGAATTTTCTAAATGCCTCAGGGGAGCAGAGCAGAGGGTGGTGCCATCTAGGCCCCCTGGGTCATGAGCGCCGTGGGAGGGTTCACAGCCCGGCTGCTTCTCTTTGCACAGACTCGGCCAGTCGCCCCTCCCGTTCCTGAAACCCTCTCTTTGCAAATATTTGTTGTAATTCAAGACCAAAGTCAGGCCCCGTTTTTAAGTCTTGGTCCTGCCCACTGCCTGACCCTTCACACTGTGCCTGAGGTTGTATTTGTCCCTGGCCCTCCTGACCTGCTCCCTCAGGACCACTTGGCCTCACCCTGCAGCTCCCCCACTGCGGCCCTGGACACAGCTGCTCACCTGGTCACAGCCCAAGAGCACGCAGGAGGCTCCTGCTTCCCCCACTTACCTGTGGCAGCTGCTGGAGGCCTCGTCAGAGCCCACACAGTGTCCCTGTCTCCACAACGATGACCCCACAACCAGGAAGAACCAATAACTTCCTTCTCCTCCACTCGTATTCTCTAGCTCTCCATGCTTTGCTTATTCGTAGGTCAAGGTTTTAAAAAAATAACTAAATAACTAAAATTGAACCCAGAGTCTTTTTGCTCTGATACGTCACCAGCATTTTTTTTTTTTTTTTTTTTGTCTTGCTAAGTTGCTAAACTGCCCAGCCTGGGTGATCCTCCTGCCTCAGCCTCTCAGAATGCTGGAATCACAAGAATGCACCACCACACTTGGGAATTGCACTTCATTTTATCCACTTCTTCCACCAGTCCTGGTCACCAGTTCCTCAAGCCCCATCAAGCACAGATAAGACCACAGAGACAGCTTCCATCTTTCAGTCCTCAGTCCTAGACTCACAAAGTGTCAGCCTCATCGCGTCTTGAGGAAATGTTTATTAAATGAAACCAACCATACAAAGCATTAGATAAACCTCAAACATCTGGCATGGCCTGGAAGGATTATGTGCAAGAGAATTTGCTTGTGCATACACTTCATCCATGGCCAAGACTGATGGGCCAGTATGAATGTTCACAGGGAAATCAGGTCATAAATCCAAAAATTAAAATCACTTGACACACAAGGATTGCCAGCAAATCCAAACTACACAAAAGAACTTGGGTGATGTAATAAGTGCCCTTATGTCAATGGTACAGTAAAATACAAGTGCAGCTGCACTCCGTGGATGAAGTCAAAGAAACAACATTGAACATTTAAGATACTTCCATGCAGGGGAAGATTCTCATAAGAAATTTACAAAAGTATTACATTTTTTCTAAAGGGAAATATTATTCAAACACTGTAAAATCTTTTTTTGGTACCAGGAATTGAACTCAGGACCTCATGCTTGCCAGGCAGGTGCTGTGCCACTGAGCTGTATGCCCAGCCCAGTTAAACACTGTAAAATCTTAACACTTTCCTTCTATTATTACCACCAACTTAAATGTGACACATTAGTGATTTAGATCATAATAGAAATTATTATATGCAATGCTTATGTAGTTATTGCTATAGCAACACCAGGCATCCTAACCACACCTCGGGAGGGCAGGTGTCACCTGGGTAGAAGTGCTTTTTCATCAGTGAAACACCAAAACACTCTCAGCATCACTAGGGATAATCACAGAAACAGCAACTTAGTCTCACCCCATACAAACATCAAAGGTAAGCGACCCTCTTTGCCACAGACTGCCCATCTATAACTCTTGGTGTGCCTATAATAGTCTGCACGTATTCAAGATTTCTTCAAAGTCTACTTTAATAAGTATTTCAACTGTTTATGAAATTATTTCTTATGTATGAGGAATTTTGCTTCCTCTAAAATTGATTTTACACAGTAAAGACAACCACAGAATTCTTGCACATCATATAAAAGCAGTCGTTCCTGTTATAGACAGGGAAGATAGGTTCTTGGAAAAAGTGATAACCAGATGATGCATCCTCTTGGAACATGCACTCCTTGCAGAGCACCCGGTGCTCATCTGTCTGCAGTCACTGTCCCCACCCTTGCTGTCCCTCTTTTCCCTGCTTTGCTTAACCCAGATCTGCAGCAGCACCCAATAGGAACCATTCTTCTCAAAATTGTCGGTGATCATAGTGATGATCATTTTTACATTCTCATTACTTGATATCTTAGTAACTTTCAACATGAATAACCACCTCTTTCCCTTCCTCTCTCTCTCTCCCTCTCTTGTTCCCTCTCCACTTCACTTTTTTGGTGTCATCAGCAGCTTCTTCTAAGTCTTCTTGGCCAACCTATCCTCTTTAGCTCAACTTTTAAGTGTCAAATCACCCTGAACTATAGCACGTGTCTACTTCTTTATCTATACATTCTGCACACGTGATCTCATCAAGTCTGTCATTTGGAAACCATCCATAGGCCAGTAATTGCCTAATAGATATCCTTACCCCCCAGATCTTCATAGGTTCCCCAAGCATACATATTCACCTAGTTGCCTAACTTCACAGCTCACCTTGGATGTCTACTAGGCATCTTAACCTAAACATGGCCCAAACACCCTAAACTGCCCCTCCCCCATAGTTCCCATTCCAGGGAATGCCAACACTTCTCAATTCCAGACTCTGAATTATCCTGATTTCTTGCCTGTATTCTCTATCCATTCCAACATCAAGTTTTATCACTTTAATCTTTCTAAAAATACTTCCCAGTGGAACCCTTGGAAATAGGAATGCCTAGCCTGGCATTTTCTTGTCATTACCTTGCCCTCTGTCTTTTAT